GACAGTCTCACTTTGTAGCTCTGGTTGTCCTGGAACTCATTATATAGATCAGGCTGGTCTAGAACTCATAGAGATCCTCCTGCCTCTACCTCCCAAGTACTGAGATTAAAGGCACCACCAGACCCAGCTCCAGAATGTCTTTTATTTTATTTTTTATTTATTTATTTATTTATTTATTTTGGTTTTTCGAGACAGGGTTTCTCTGTGTAGCTTTGCGCCTTTCCTGGAACTCACTTGGTAGCCCAGGCTGGCCTCGAACTCACAGAGATCCGCCTGGCTCTGCCTCCCGAGTGCTGGGATTAAAGGCGTGCGCCACCACCGCCCGGCCCAGAATGTCTTTTAATTAACATCAATTTATGTATGTTTTCTGTGAATAGTCTATATTTTGAACTTCTATTTCTTATCCTTCCTGTTTTAAATTAAAAATAAAAACCAAAAACCAATTGAAGTTTTCCTACTTTAAATGAACTGGCTATGTGTCCTCCCTTTCTAGTGGTCTGAAGCTATAAATTGTATTTGCAAGATTTTACCTATTCCTTTAAGTGTTTTTTTTTTCTTTTTCTTTTTAAGATTTATTTATTTATTTATTATGTATACAGTGTTTTGCCTGCATGTATGTCTGCACTCCAGAAGAGGGCATCCAATCCAATCTCATTATAGATGGTTGTGAGCCACCATGTGGTTGCTGGGAATTGAACTTAGGACCTCTGGAAGAGCAGCCAGGGCTCTTAACCTCTGAGCCCCCTTAAGTGTTGTATTTTTGTTTGTTTGTTTGTTTGTTTTTTAATGCACACATTTAATTATGCACTAATCTAAAAATGTCTGAAATTGCTTAATATTTCTGTCTTCTTCCTTATGGGTCTTATTATATCGTACCATTGTCCCACACTACAAAACTTTGCCACATTAACTATTGTTGCCGCTGTATAAAGCCACATTGTCAAATGTGGTATCTCTAAGTCCCATTTAGCTTTCAAACACTTGCTATATGACCAGTGTGAACTGAGATATGTTCTAAGTATAAAATACACACTGGGTTTTGAAGATAACATTAGAAAGTGGAAGTGAAATATCTCAAGAATTTTGTGCTGATTACATGTTGAAATTATAGTATTTTGGAAATATTGGGCTAAATACATTTAAACTAATATTGCTTCTTTCTTTAGTAATATACTCACTAACAAAAATCACACATGTGGCTAGCATTATGTTTCTGCTGGACAAGGCTTATCTACGGGTCTTAATCATCCTGTTCTTTGTTGTTTTGCAAAGCAATGCTAGAAGCAAACCCAGGCCCTCCACATGCTGGGTGCTGGAGAGCACTGACACCGGGCTGCATCGCTAGCACTGCTGACCTGTTTGTAGACGAGGTTTTCTGTGCTGAACTCTGGGCTGCAAGTGATCTTTCCACCTCAGCTCATAAACAGCTGAGACCACAGGCCCACGCCACTGTACCTAGCTGACTGCTTCAGTTTTAGTTTTGTTTTATACGTATCAAATGCAAAAGTAAAGAAAAACCCTCAGAATTCTGTTTTCTGCACTATTAATAGTTCAGTGAACACTTTAGGTAATTACAATTCTTTAGTCTGGATTATATTTATCTGACATAATGTGGTACACGGCCTGGCCTTATCAAACACACTCCATTTTCTTTTCACATCAGCTGAGAAGCAGCCCTTTGTCAGTTGACTTATCATACTTCCACATGTAATTGGCTTCTAACTTCACAGCTTTTTAATACTTTTAGTAGTTTTTAATTTTATGTGTAGGGGTATTTTGCCTGCATGTATGTCTGTGTACCACACTTGTGCCTGGTGCCCACAGAGCTGGAAAAGGGTTTGGGATCCACTGGAACTGGAGTCACAGAGGGTTGCAAGCCCCCATGTGGGCACTGGGAATTGAACACAGGTCCTCTGGAAGAGCAGCTAGTGCTCTTTTTTTTTTTTTTTTTTTTTTTTTTTTGGTTTTTCGAGACAGGGTTTCTCTGTGTAGCTTTGCGCCTTTCCTGGGACTCACTTGGTAGCCCAGGCTGGCCTCGAACTCACAGAGATCCGCCTGGCTCTGCCTCCCGAGTGCTGGGATTAAAGGCGTGCGCCACCACCGCCCGGCGCAGCTAGTGCTCTTAACCACTCATCCATCTCTCCAGCTCCCACTTCTTAAGATTTAATCTAGAGTTTTACCACAACCTGTCCAGATACAGATTTACCTTGAACCTGCTTCATAGTCTAAAGAAAAAGAAACTGGCTCTCCCTCATTACTAAATAGTCTGAACAATTATCAAGTTCATTTCCAGAAATCTCTACAACTTTTATTTACAATTAATTAGTTAATTAATCAACTGGTTTTGAAATAAGCTTCCACTTGAGGTCCAAGCTGGCCTCAAATTTGGGATCCTCCAGTTTCCCAAATGCGGGGACTATAGGTGTGCACCACTATGTCCAGTTCTGCGTTCTTTATATATATGCTGTAGTTTCTCAGTTAATCCTGTATTTTAACTATAGACTCATAACATTTCATACCTCTTAATCCTTCTTTGTATGTACTGGGTGAATATTTTGGTATTATTTCTAACTTCCAATTGATTCATCAATGATCAAAGAGTAAACTTCATCTGATCAATTAAACCTAAATTTTTATCTATTTTAAAATGTGTTATTATTATTTATTTTGTATTTGAGACAGGGTCTCATGTAGCCCAGGATGGCCTCCAACTCAATATAGAGCCAAAGATTACTTTGAATCCCTCTCAGTCTTCCTGCTTCCCTCCCAAGTGCTGGGATGACAGGCCTGAGCCACCACATCCGACTGTCTGTAGCATGAAATCCAGAGGCTTCACATATGCTAACCAAGAACTCTCCCAATTAAGCTACATCCCCAGCCCCAAGTCTTTATTTTTAATTCTGGTGCTAGAGGTTGAACTCAGGGCCTCACAGATGCTAAGCACACACTTTACTTCTGAGCTACATCCCAGCCTCAAATTGGAACTATGCCCCTTCAAGTGTCGAGCCTTTTTGTCTTTTGTTTCCCCCAGCAATGTTTCGAGATTCAACCCAGGACCTTGGATATGCTAAGCAAGTACCCTATCACTGAGCTAAAGCCCTAGCTACACCCTCCCTCTTTAAAATACAATCATATAGCAACATTTTTAATTTCCATGTGTTCCTTACTATATAAACCTGCTTCTTTCACCTCTTTTAATTTATACTCTTCATTCTCTTTAATAAAGAACACCCTTTATCTCTTTAAGCATCCTAAAAATGTTTTAAAGTTTCTCCCAATCAATGGAATACTATGCAGCCGTTAAAAAGAATAAGATCATCCCATGGATACTAATATGAAATGATCTCTAAATATGTTCAGTTAAAAAGGCCAGGTATATAATAGTATGTGTAGAAGGCTACCATTTATATAAAAGTATATGTGGGGTATCTGTGTGTATGTGTGTATTTATATGTTTGCACATGCATAAACTATCTCAGAGAAGATAGCAAATTAGTAACAGTGGTTGCCTCTGGGGAGGGAAACTGGGTGGCTAGGCGACAGAGGTGGAAATAGACTTACTTTTCACTGTTTACCCTTTTGTACCTTTGAATTTTGTACCACGTGCATGTATTACCTAGTCAAAAAAAAAATAAATAATTTATTTTTAAAAATAAACTCTTGGTTGGACTACTTACTCCATAAGTTAATTTCATCCAGAGAAATCCCTGTTCTGGTGGTTTGACTTTGTTGTATTCATATTGGATGTCTTCATGAATGTTGAAATTTTCGTTATAGGCTTGAGTGGACCAAGTTAACTTTTTCTCTCTCTTCCTATTTAAGGGTTTTAGGATTGCCTCTACTTGGCCATCTGGGCCCCTAGTCTATTACTGGGCCCCTAGGTTTTATAATAACATTTCAGGGCTCCAGTTTCATGATAGTATTGGAAATAGTACACATTCAGTCACTAACCTGGCAAGTACCTTCACTCAATTTCTGTCATGAGGCTGTGTCTTTATCAGCTAAAACCTACAGCCCCAGGGAGCAAAACATCTTTTTTTTTTTTTTCAGCCTTTCATAAATGAGACAGACATTTCAACTAGTGGCTTCATGTGGTGATTGTGGCTCTGGGTCTTCCTTTACACCAAACTCCTCAGTGCTTTTAATCTTTTTAACTGAAGATCATAACTACCAGCTATCAGTGCTGCAGTGAAAGGCCCGGACCCAGCAGCTTCAGCCCTGTGCAGATCGACCTCAGGCCTGTCCTCTCTGGAACCTAACTGTGACTCTGTACTGCTTGTTCTGTGGGTCTGCGTGAATACGTCAGTAGAGTTACGCAGAACACAGCACACTACCCGCACTGCAAGTAATTTTCACATCTCTTTTTAAAATAACATTGAAAGTCATAACTATAAAATACAATGTCATTTCATATAGCTTAGAAAATAGAAAATTAATAATAAATTACCCAGGTAAACTACTGCTAGGAGTGAAACACCATCTTTTACTCCTCTGTATCAACTCATATACTTGTAGATTGTATAACTTTAACTTACATAGTCCCAAACACTTGTCTATAGTGTTATATAGTCTCTACAATCATCATTTTAAGGACTGCATATTAATCCACCAAACTGTTCACCTGTAATTATCTTCCCAAATCTTTGACTAGGGAAGGAGTTATCAATGAAGGATGTTACAAAGATGTTTTCTCTCTCTCAATAGTCTGGATGTGGGTGTGGTATGACCGTGAGAGATGATGCTAAGCCAATGAATGCAGTAGTATAGTAGTACATGGCTAAGGTTCATAATGATGACCGTGACACACAAAGAGGAAAGGAAAAAAATTGCATGGAGGTAAACAATATATTGCAGAAAAGTTCCAATCCAAAAATCATTAACAGTAAAATTTGTAATTATAAGGTAAGTTTTGCAACTGGGTAATGAATGACATATTTTCACTAACTTGCAAACCAGATTCTGAGTCACACTAAAAGCTCATTATTTACTAGCATACTCACCTGATATTATTCACACAGTCTTCATGCGCTTCAGAAAGGGTTTTTATGTGCTTTGAAGAAATAGGGTCAAAAAGCAGAACTTCAGTCTGTTCACAGGCAACTGTCAGCACTGACCTGAAAGGAAGCAACACATTTCTCTTGTTTACTCTTCTCACACTCTCTGGCTCACTTATTTATAATTATACATATTATAGATAACTTTTTCTCTGGGAATTTAGTAGAGTGAACTAATTAATAAACACGAGAAACATGAAGATATGCTTCACTGTAAAAAGGAGAAATTGAAAGCAACCTAAATATACATGAGAGAAAGAGTATCTTATAGACCACAGAACATCGTAACTGTCCTCCTATTCATGAGGGAAAGATCTCAAATCCCAAGTGGATGTCGGAAAGTCCAAACAGTAAGGAATCCTCCACATACTGTCCTCCTCCTATACATACTAATGCCAAGCTTGAATCTGTAAATGAAGATTAACAAGCATAATCAAGCATAACAGTTATAACTCACTGTGGTGCAGTTACACCAGTGTGCTTACTCTCAAAGCACATTACCCCACTGCAGATGCCAGCAGTCTGGCACGGTTGTTTTTGTTCTGCTTTTTCACTGTCAAGTGGAGAACTTCCAATCTTTTCAACTGCAGGATGAACTATGGCTTCTCTTTGGCATACTCCAACTGCCAGCACCACTGCTCTCGTGCTTTGTAGTCTTACTACCTAAAATAACGATCAGACACAGCATTGTGAAACCTGAGCTGAGCTGGTGACCGAGAGCCCAAGTGACTAGCAATGTGTTCTTGCACACAGTATGGACACAGTATAAGGGATGACATGTCCCAGGTGGGACAAAGTGGAATGATAAGAGATTTCATCAAACTTTGAAGACTGGCATGAAATGTAAAACTTGTGAGTTATTTCTGGAATTTTTCATATGCCCTTTGTGTACTATGGTTGGTTAGAGGTAACTGCAGAGTGAAGTCAGGAATAATGGGAAATTACTTTTCAGACGTTAACAAAAGGGCAGTGTGGTGGTTTAAATTAAGACTAGCCATCTGCCCCCCCCCCCCATTGGTTCATAGGGAGAGGCACACTTAGGAGGTGTGGCCTCATTGGAGGAAGTGTGTCACTGGGGGTGGGCTTTGAGGTTTCAAAAGCCCAAGCCAAGTCCAGGGACTCTCTCTTCCTGCTGCCTGTGGATCCAGATATAGAACTCCCAGGTCCTTCTCCAGCACCATGTCTGCCTGCATGCTCCCTTGCTCCCTCCTGAAATGACTAAGGACTAAACCTCTGAAACTGAAGCAAGCCCAAACTAAATGCTTTCTTTTATAAGAGTTGTCATCTGAGATCTGTTCTCTGTGTCCTGTCGTGTCTGGTAGCCCGCATGTCCAGCTCTTACCCACGCAGTCATGGCTTCCCAGAATGCACATATCTGAAAGCCAGACCTGACTTCACAGCCACCTTGGTGGTAAACAGCACCTTCAAGGGAATCAAGCTTTTGGACTACAGAGGAAAGTACATGGTCTTCTTTTTCTACCCACTGGACTTCACTTTAGTGTGCCCCACAGAGATCATCACTGAGGACTTCCAAAAGCTGTGCTCGGAGTGTCTGTGGACGCTCAGTTCATGAAAGGTTGGCTTTGCATGAAATATGAGACAAAACTAAAAAGCCATAAAGGAAAGAGTCCTATGTCTGATTTTTATCTAATTAGCCTGGTAGGGTATAAGCCAGCCCCTTGATGAAGAAATACATAATTTGGTTTTTGTTCTTGTTGGTTTTTCGAGACAGGGTTTCTCTGTAGCTTTGGAGTCTGTCCTGGAACTCACTCTGTAGATCAGGCTGGCCTCGAACTCACAGAGATCCGCCTGGCTCTGCCTCCCGAGTGCTGGGATTAAAGGAGTGTGCCACCACCACCCGGCGCATAACTTGGCTTTTATTTCCTCCTCTTCCCCGAGTTTTCTCATACACATTTGTTTACAACTGTTTTCATTTAAATACATTTTGGAAGCTGAGCATGGTGGTGCATGCTTGTAACTCCAGCACTCAGGAAGTTGAAGCAGGAGGATTACCCTAAGTTCAAGTCCAGCCTGGGCTACATAGTGAGTTCAGGGCTAGCTTCAACCAAATAGTAAACCTCTATCTCAAATCAAAACAACAACAAAACCCTCACATACATATAAATAAAAGTTGTTTGGAGGTGGCAGGAGCTGGAGAGTTGGCTCAGCGGTTAAGAGCACTTGGTTGCTCTTCCAGAGGTCTTGAGTTCAATTCCCAGCAACCACATAATGGCTCACAGCCATCTATACTGGGATCTGATGCCCTCTTCTGGCATGTAGGTGTACTTGCAGATAGAGTACCATATACATAAAATAAATAAATATTTTTTTAAAAGTTTTCTCATTTCCATATTAAGCATCAGATCTCATTGTAGATGGCTGTGAGCCACCATGTGGTTGCTGAGAATTAAACTCAGGACCTCTGGAAGAACAGCCAGTGCTCTTAACCTCAGAGCCATCTCTCCAGCCTGATGTTTATATTTTAAATCTAATACTTGTTTAATCTTTATGTAAATACCCATTCAAGCTTCCAGGGAGAGCAGAGTTCTCACCATTATGATGTAACTTAGTCATTTTAGTATTTTTTTCCTTCAAGTCTATTTTATTCTCCTTTTAATGTAATTTACCAGTTGTTTTAGAATGTTTTTATGTATATTTCATATACATATATGAAATATATATATATATTTCTATACCCTTTTAATTATTTCCCCTTGTATTCTAACAGTCTTTGCCCATCCCTTTGAAACAGGGTCTTGATATATTGTCTAAGCCTGTTTCCAACTAATGGGCCCAATTGGCCCTCCTGGCCTGACTCCTGGCAGCTTGTTTTTTTTGTTTTTCATTAGAACATTTATACTTATTATACTTAGTAACATTTGGATTTATTTTTAGCTATTCTTTGTGCTTTTTATCTATATACTTCATTGTATGGGAGGGTACTGGGATTAAACCCACATGCTAGGCAAGTGCTTTACCACTAAACAATATCAACAGCTCTTTTTTCTTCTGTCCTTTGCTAACCTTTTCATGTCTGTGCATATGTGGATGAGCTTTCGTGTGTGTGTGTGTGTGTGTGTGTGTGTGTATGTGTGTGGTGTCTTCTATTGCTCTCTACCTATTTTTTAACAATTTACTTATTTGTGTGTTTTGCCTGTATGTATGTGTACCACACATGTACATAATGGGTCCCCTGGAACTGGAGTTATCGTTGTGAGCTGCCTTGTGGGTGCTGGGACCCAGGTCCCCTGCAAGAGCAGCCAGTGCTCTTAACTACGGAGCCATCTCTCCAGCCTCTCTACTTTCCTTTTTGAGACAGAGTTTCTCACTGAACATGGAGTTCACTTTTTGGGCTACAGTGAATGGCCAGTGAGCCCCAGGGGTCAACCTCTCCCCACAAGGTGTTGGGTTAGAGATGTGAGACACCACACCCAGCCTGTGTGGGTGCTAAGGTGCTAAAGTCAGGCCCTCAGTTTACACTTACCCCTGAGCCACATCTTCTTACCTTCTTTTTGTAATCTTTCCCTTGTTTCATACTTTCTTCTCTACTAGTTTGGAAGGAAATTATCTATTCTTTGTTTCCTTGAAACTGCAATACATATACTTATTAAAGCCTCTTAAGTTGTTGTTGTTATTATTGTGTGTGTGTGATATATGGGTACATGTGCAGGTCAGAGGACAACCTAGCGGAGTCAGGTCTCTTTTTACCTTCACATGGGTTCCAGGGATCAGAACTCAGATCAACAGGCTTGTACATCAAGTTCCCTGACTTGCTGACTATTTCATGGGCTGAGTACCAGAATAATTACTTTTTAAAAATGCTTCTGGGGCTGGGGAGATGGCTGTGTGGGTAGAGGCCTATCACCAAGGCTGACTACTTGAGTTCCATCCCTGGGACCCCACACGGTGGAAGAAAAGAACGGCTCCTACAGGTTGCCCTCTGACCTCCACACATGTACCTCCCTCCACATATAAGTCATGGAATGCACATGAACCTGTATGAATATGTGATGACTTTAATCCCAGCACTTGGAAGGCAGAGGGAGGTGGATCTCTTTGACTTTGAGGCCAGCTGAGTCTACATTGTGAGTATCAGGGCAACCATGAGACACAAAATAAATAAATTTCTCTGGGAGAATGTAGTCCATATTCAAATGAAAATTATAAGTAATATCCCTCATTCTAACAGTCCTGGCAATTTAAATTTTTCATAATTAATTCTAGACTCACCATATCCTATTTAAAATTCTACCTCCAGGGAATGACGAACCTACTTCTCAAGTCCTCAAAGTATAGAGTTTGGTAAAAGAGGGATTGAGGGACAGAAAAGAGAGGCACAGACAGTATTTGGGGAGAGGAGGAAGCTTTAAGAATATCACATAAAGGAAGAAGGTTCAAGGAATAAGCTTCAGCTAACCAAAGTTTCCCTCCTCATCAGTTTTCTTCTGAACTCAGGTATGCACCCCTGCTAAGCTCGAGCCAGCGACTAGAAGGAAAAGCCGCAGAGATCCTAGTACCAGGCATAACTAGAAGAACCATTTCCGTCAATGAACTAAAACGGGGTTTACTTGCTCAGTAACTGTGTTCCCATGCTTCTTTCTCGGCATAGTCTAGGTCTTCCTTCCTTGAAAAATTTTTGCTTCATTATTTCCATTTCCTCTAACATTATACGCTAATATGGCCCTTCAACGTAAGTTCATATTCATATGAAATAAAATCTATTCTTTACCCATCATTTCTCTCCTGCCATTTTCTTCTGCTCTTGATCCAGGTGTCACTTTTTCAAGGTACCCGAGCTCAACAGGCTTTAAGCCTTTATCTCAATTTGTAGGTGTTCACTGTGCATTACTTAGAATCTCACATCCAATTGAATTAATAGAGCCCAGGCTCAGTAAACGGAGTGGCATTAGCTAGTTTTACTCACTACTGTTCTCCATGCATTTGCAACCTATCAAGTGTTCCAGAAGCATCTGGTTAATGAGGGACTGAATGAATGAATGCATTAACTAAGCAAAGACTAGTAACCCAGAGGCCCGATGTGATAACAATGCTACTAGTTATGTCATTTTAAGGTGAAACCATGAGCAGTGTTTTCCCTCTGATTGTCGTTGAACTTCTGCGCTCACAAGATAAAGTATTAAACAGACCTCGGATAGTTTTGAAATTTTCCTATAGCTTGAAGTAAACCAAGAGCAAACAAATGTCAGTCCAAAAAAAAAAAGTTAGATACCCTTAACCCAAGCATGTAGTCTCTCCCATAAATGGCCCAAATACCAAGAAACATATTTCTGCTGTGTCTTAGTATCTTTCTAGAGTTTTTTGAGTGTCAACTCATGGCAGGATCTGGCATAAGGGCCAAAGATTCTGCAAGCTTCCTACCTTGAACTCTTTAACACAAACTCAGCTCAGAGAAAGGCCCATCGAGGATAGCACCAAAATGATGGGCATTTATTGAAAGTATATTCGCTGAGCACCTACTGTGTACCAGAAAGTCCTACTTGTGGACGGGCTCTGGTAGACCTGCAGCGATAGCTTGAGGTATTTCTCTTCCACCGAGCCCAGGACCCCGAAGGGAAGCCCTGGGCCTGCCCACCTCAAAAGGCCAGGTCGGAGCTCAGAGGCGACAGACAAAGTGCTTCTGAAAGTGCCGGGGCACGGCGGCCAGCAGCGGCGGCCGACCTGGGCGGAGGGAGCTCGCTGGGGCGCAGGCGCTTACCCGTCGGGCGAATACTCGAGGTTGAAGACAGCACCGTGGGTGCGGGTGCTGAGGTACACGGAGTCTGCCGGGTGGATGGAGCCATACAGGTTAGTCATCGTGCGGAAGTTGTCCCGCGCCGGGTCCACGAACAGCCCGCGGCCGAGGCTTCGCTCTCTCAGCCAGCCGAACAGTCTGGCGCCGGGGCCGCCCAGGCCCGCGCCGAGGCCCTGCCGGCTCCGGCTGCCGGCCCTGCAGTCTGGCCTCGAGCGCCTGCGCGGCGAGGACGACGGTGACAGCTCCGCCTGCGCTGCAGCAGCAGCAGCCGACAACTCCAGAGCTCCGGGGCCCGCGGGCTCTCCGGCGCGCTCGCCCGGGGACAGTGCGGGGCCGCCCGGGAGGCGAGGGCTGCGGGCTGCCGGCGGGGGAGGGGCCGCGTCAGCTCCCTGCTGTGGAGGCGCCGGCCGCCGAGCTGGAGAGGGCGGTCTGGAAGCTGCCGCCGGCCCTCCGAGAGGCGGCGGCTCCTCAGCTCCAGCCGCCCCGTCCCCGCCCGGGCTGTGGGGCCCGAAGGGAAACATGACCAACGCCCCCGCCCCCTATTCCGGGCCGCTGTCCCGCCGCCCGACAACTCAGCGCTCCCGCTCCAGCCGCCACTTCCGGGTGCCGCGTCCTAAACCTGCCGGCTGGGAAACCCGCGTCACCGCTAGGCTGCCCTCCGTCGGGGACCGAAAAGCAGGGACACCGCGGAATCGGGAGCGCCCCAGCCCAAGAGGACTGTGAGGTCAGGAGGCACTAACCCTCTGTGAGCAATGTCGGACGCACAGCACCAGCTACAAGCAGCTGAGAGTCGGCCCACAGCTGTCAGTGAGCACTGGCTGTGTGCCTGACCATTCGCCAGGACTCGGTCGGATGACCTACTGTTGTCCTTACACCGAGATTGGGCGGGGTGAGGGGGGTGGGTGTATTATACATACTGGATTATATGTAGGTCACACAGTAAATCTCATGGCGCACTGCCTACTCAGCCTAGAAGTCTAAAGATTCAAGAACATTCGCACGCAAAAAAGCACTGGACTGTACAGTGCCTAGAATAGAGGAACCTATCGATGCCTTAAATATCTGCCGAAATCTCGGCTACTGCGCAGTCAGGTATTATCTTCATCAATGTCAGAGCCTTCTCTTCCCTGCAAAAGAACATATATGCAGCTAGGAGTCATTGAGGGGAGCTGGAGAGCTGAATCCATTCAACCCCACAAAGCAAGAGATCATAATGCAGCTGCTGAGCACTGCACGAAGGGCCTTTCTCACTGCTGCCCCTGAGTACAAACCAACCTGTTGTCGGGGCGAGAGAGGTTAACAGGAAATGGGGCTTTTCAGTGCAGGGAATCTTAGTCCTCAAAAAGGAAAGCTTGAGGTAAAGGAAAAGCAGACAGATGTAAGCACTGACACATTTTCTAGGTCTTGTTAAGGGCAGCGTTGTAGGAAGCTCACATTTGGAGACTGTGATGGTAAACAAGATAGACCTGGAAGATGTCTGGAGGAAGGTAATTAGAGAGTCAATGGTTGAACTTTCAGCAGAAAATCACGAAGTCCTCATTTAGTCTGTATTGGCTCCAGATAATCAGATTTCACAGTTCAGGGATTCAACATACCGAGGTCCCAAAGCCATTTAAGAGCTGCGCACTGAGGGTATGGTTCAGTGGTGGAGTGCTTGCCTAGTGTGCGTGAAGCCCTGACTTTAACCCCTAGTACTGTAGAGAAGACAAAACAAGTGTGCACTGATACAAATTTAAGGCAATAATGGTAATACAGAGAATAAGTAATTTAGTAATGCCTAGTTTTTTAAAACGTTTGTATTTAGTATGTGAATACTGTTTTATTCCAGTTTTTTTTTACTAAAACCTAAAATAAGAGCACATTACATAAGACTAAGATTCTATAACATCAGATAAAAAAATTGAGAGGGCACTAAAAATAGAAATAAAATTTATCTGTGCATGTTCCTGTCGACCCTACATTTGAGAGTCTATACATACAACCATGTTAATAAGTAGTTGACTTCAAATCAGTCTATATTGACCAATTTCTAGGTGATACCTTTTGGAAAGCTAAAAAATTTTCAACTTTAGTAGCCAAAATTCAATTAGATGTCTACTCATATTTAAAGCATCATCAGAACCCCTTTGCCTTATAGTATTTTTGGATCTTAATGGAAGTAAATAATCAACAAAGGTTTTTCTGAACTGTGTCCCCAAGTCACAAGTATCACATGTCCCTGGGACATAATAAAGTCAGGGACTTTATCAGGCAGATGGGGAACATTTTTTTTCTCTAACCAATAACTAGATGTTTTTGTATTTATTGTGAATTGCTATCCAACTGATGTCTTCTAATGCAATGTAACTGAAATGACAAACACTGGCCTTTCCTGTCAGGCTTTTATACTTTTGGAGCAGTAAGTTCACTCTCTATCTGTTTAGTATCACTGTTTCTACCCAATGAATAGTATCCCTTGTTAGGAATGATGTCGATAAAATGAACAAGGCGGTTGGCCATAGCATAGAAAGCTGTAATGGTAGCTATGTCCCAGGCATCTTCTCTATTGAAGCCATGCATTTCCAGCTTTTTGAAATGGTCATCTGTTATGTCATCAGCTTGGGAAACAGCAAGTGCAAACTCTACCATTGCTTTTTCTCTAGCAGGGAGGTCAGACTTTTTCCAGTTTATACAGACCTGCAATGAAACACACAATCAGAATCTTAGTCCAGTACAACACAGCTAAGAAAATCCAAGGTCCAATGAAACCAATGGGGAAAAGCCCTCAAGGTTATTCTAGAATGAAGGGAGCAAAGTTAGGCCAGAAAGATACACAAATATCTTGGTCAAGCCAAATGGAATATAAACCTGGAAATCTAGTTCAAAACCATGTCTACCAAGAAATGTTTTTGAGGACTGGAAAGATGCCTCCATGGTTAGGAGCACTAGCTCTTGCAGAGCATCTAGATTCAGTTCACAACCATCTAGAACTCCAGTTTCAGGGGATCTGACACCCTCTTCTGACCTCCAAGGGCACCAAGCACACATATGGTACACATGCATGCAGGCAAAGTACGCACACATAAAAATAAAAGTATTTTTGCTTGTTCTAGCTTCAAAACCCTCTTTGTTTTCAGGCTGGAAAGATGGCTCAACAGTTAAGAGCATTTACTGCTCTTGCTCAGGACCCAGGTTCAGTGTTCAGCACTCACATGTTGGCTCACACCTGCAGTATCCCAGTCAGTTCCAGGGGATCTGACACCTTCTTCTAGCCTCTGAGGATACCTGCACACATACGGTACACATTACTCATACAGGCTTACATACATACCCCTAACTTTAAAAAAGAAAACAACTCTTTTTTTTTCCCACCTGGACATAGTGGCAATCCCTTCTACTCAAAGCTCAGACAGGAGGATTATTAATTCAGTTTAGTAAAAATCTGGGCAAAAAAACAAGACCATGTCTCTTAAAAAGAAACAAACAAATCCTCCCTTTTCCTCTAAACATCCATGACTTAAAAAATCTCAGAGTCAAGGACAGAAACTTCCTACTTGAAGAGCTTCCTTCCAGATGAGAACAGTAGAGCCCACAGGTTACCCCTCTGTCCTGTCCCCAGTGATGCCCAATCAAAACACAATATTTGTGAAATTAATAGTTTATATTTATCCAAGTATGGTGGCTCATGCTGAGGCAGAAGGTTCCCTGAGCGTAGGAGTCTACCTAGGCTACACAGTGAATTCCAAGCCATCCTGAGCTACAGCACAAGAGACTGTCTCACAAAGCTAAACCAAAAACAAAACCAAGAAGACCTTCACATTTAGCCATGGATATGTTAAGGATTTGTTTGACATTTCATATTTATTATCTCATTCTCTGTGCAGCAGTATTTTTATTATCCCCATTTCATTAAGAGGAAACTACAGTTCAAAGAAGCAAATTAACTTCCCTAAGGTCACATGGCTACCTCATGGCAGAGCTGGGGTCAGGTCCCAAGTACACGAGGTCCCACAGACTACACTTACAGTCATTTTCTCTGCTGGAGTGAAATACTGGAAACCACTCAAAACTAAAGACATTAGACCGACTTAGCAACCACAGTACGACAACGACAACGCGTTTCACGGCCACCAGGAGGTGATGCCTGACAAAGCCTGAATGAGCAGGGACCGGCTGAAGGAGGGGCAGGATAAAGGGGAAGTTACCTGCAGGCTAGCAACACAATCTCCACCCAGGTCAGGAGAGAAGACTGCAGGGAGAGACCGATGAATCTCAACTTTAGAATAATTCAGAGAAAATGTTTTAGTTCCCCAGCTCCAAAAACAAGGGATTTCACTGTAGAAATCAGAACTGGGGAAGCTTGGTGGCAAATCCTCGTTGGCTGTCTCTATCCTCAGGCCATTTTCTGAATAATTAGGATGACCTCTGCTGGCCAAAAGCCTGACTGGAGATGAACCAGGGGCAGAGTAAGTCACTTATTGGGGAAACAGGGCCAACTTCACAATCAATCTTGGTGATAAGAGAGGACAGAGCCCATTCCAGAAAGATAGGCAGATTGGCCAAAGCCTGGGGCCAGCACTAAAAACAAAAAAAGAAAAGCTACTGATCTGACTTGGTTCCTCTTAGAATAATCAGTGGGTGTATCATTTAACAGTGGAAACTGCAAGCAGTACAGCAGCGTAGCAGAAAAGAACAGCTTTGAAGTAAGACTGTTGGATGCTCCATGCTGAGGGCAACCTCTGAACTGAGAGCAGAAAATGGTTAAAGAAAAGGGAATACAGGTCAAGTAACCAGTCCATCTGGCATAAAGCTGGGAGGTGCAGTTACTCCCTACCTACTCCCGACCTCCACATCGAATGTATACAGAAGCAGGTGGGAATAGTGATGGGATCTAGAAGGGAACTCAGATAGTGGGAGGAACTTGAGGTGTATGCCCCACACCTTATAATGGCATGAGTTATGCCCTTTGTCCAGGTACAGAGAAGCCCTAAAACTGACACAGGAGAGGCGGGCACCAACCTGGTCAGAGAGTCCTGGGTTCTTCGAGTAGACCCTGTATAGGGCACTGTGGACAACAACACTGTACAGGCACCTTTCACCCAGGCTGGTCACTACGATGATGAGTTCCTTGTCAGCTTTGCTGAGCCGACCTGCAGAGGAAAAGGAAAGGAGACCCATCTAGAAAGCCCAAACAGCGGCTCAGTAAGAACTGTCTGCAAAGGGGTGTTTTATCAACACCTCTGCCCGTCTGCCTATATCCTATCCTCACTTACACATTCATTCTAGTTCCCTGACTCTTCCTAAAGTCCACTTGTTCTTTCATTGTCTGTTTCTCCTCTCAAGAGTATTTGTGAAACTGCTGGTAAGGCCCTATTGCTGAAGACAACACCTGTAGATCACACTGAACATGGAGAAGTTTACTATTGCCTGGCTAAAGCTTTCATCCCTCCTGTCTAGTGTTCATAGTGCTGGAAGGTACTCTGCACACTACTAGAGGAGAAAGTTGACCACCACCCCAGCTACAAACCCTTCAGTCTACAATGGTGACCTGTCCACGTGATTCTCAGGTGCATTAGTGGCACAAAGCTTGTGGGGTCACCAACCCTCTATGATTGGACTTAAGGCCACTCCATGAGATGCAACCATGCCTGGCACTGCTCAGGCAGCCAAGAACCTGAGACTAAATAGGGCATGAACCAAGAGGAAAACCACGTACTATTGTTCTGCTAAAGGAATATAACAGTAAAATGACTCCTAATGACATTCTGCTATGTCTGTAGATCAGTGTCTCACCCAGCCATAATCACAGAAGCTTCCTCCTGCAGTAGATGGGAACTAATATAGAGACCCACAACTGGACACTGAAGAGTGAGAA